CTTTGCCTCTGGTCACTTCCTGTCAGCACCTGTGTGTCCAATCAGACTCAAAGCTGATCGTTTGCTCTTACTCACATTGTTCCCTTTTTTCTAGATCCTTGCTTGTGTTGTTCTTACTCTCTGATGTACGTCGCTTTGGATAAAAGAGTCTGCTAAGTGAATTGTAGAATTGTAAAAACTGATTTGTTTTTTTTGTGCTGTCTGAATGCCGCTCACTACCTTGTTAGATGATCTCTCTGTGGCTCATGCCCTTTCATTATAACAGGAGTGCATTTTAACCCCCTCATCTCCATGGATTTACAGATCCATTTTTACCACTGCTGCATGCTCACACAGCTGCCACTGCTATGTTCAATCCCAACATGCTGTGGAAGAGTTTAGAGTAGTGCAAAATCCCATCTGACCAACTGTGGGAGGATTAAGTGGAGGTCAAAGCTCATCTATTTCCACTCCCTGATGTGCAAATGTCATGTATACACACCACCAAAAGAAGCACAAACAGATGTGTGATCATGAAAACAAAAGCACAGTAAACCACTGCTGTGTTGAATATCTATTTTCTCTCTTTGCTCCTCAGACTACGAGGCCTTTAAAGAAGCAGCAGAGCAGTTCCAGCCTTACATCAAGTTCTTTGCAACATTTGAGAAATCTGTATGTAGCAAACAAAACAAATAAACAGACTAATGTAGAAATGAAATGTTTTTCTTGAGAGACCCCTCTTTTGTCTCCTCAGGTGGCCAAAGAGCTGACTCTGAGGCTGAACGAGGTGGATTTCTATGAGCCCTTCATGGAGGAGCCGGTCACCATCCCAGGCAGGCCTCACTCCGAGGAGGTGCTGGTGGACTTTATAACTGAACACAGACGGTAAACAAGGAGAAATGATGTTAGGCTTAAAACTAAAGGGGACAGGGCCTTTGCTGTTAGAGCCCCCACACTTTGGGACAGCCTGCCAGAGGAGATCAGACGTGCAGATTCAGTCCCTTGTTTTACATCCCTACTCAAGACATTCTTTTATAAAAATGCTTTTACTCTGTGATTTTGGTAATTGTTCTTATTTTTATTTTATTAGTCTGATTTTGTTGTCTGCTTGTTTACTCTCTGCCTGTTGCTTTAATTGTCTCTCTGCTTTTATTTTCTGTTGTAAAGCACTTTGTTACTTGTATAGAAAAGTGCTATACAAATAAAGTATTATTATTATGTTCTATTTGATTTTTTTGCAAAGTAATGCAATTTTTTTTTCTGTGGAAAGAACTCATACTGTTTTTTTTGTGCCATTAGACCAACTCTGAGAAAACTGCGTGCAGAAGATATGTTTGAGACCTGGGTGAGTGATGACTGTTTGGAAGCTAAAATACACAACACTTAAATTTAGTTTTCTCTGACACTTGCAGTAACTTTACGTTCAATTTGTTTTCCTCTTCTTCTACCGCTTCTTCTTTTTCTTCTTCATCTTCTTTTCTTCTTCTTCTGCTTGGTATTCTTCTTCTCAGGAGGATGATATTGATGGCATTCACATCGTTGCTTTTGCAGAGGAGGAAGACCCTGGTAAGAGCAAGTTACACATGAACGGGATAGAATAGAATAGAATAGAATAGATGTTTATTGCCCTTTGCACAGGTACAGGACAGTACAGGTACATTGGAATTGTTGTGTGTTTCTCCCTGAGTCAGCTTCTACAAAAAAGTTTAAATTATATATAAAATAGAATTATAAGAAAAAAAGAAAAGTACAAATAAAAAAAATAAACAAGTTGTAGTAACAGCTAAGTGAATTAAAATAAACTGTACAGAAGCTATACACTGTATTAAAGCAAAGATATAATACAAAAAAATAACAAAGGGAACACTGTACACTGAAATGAAAATATAAATATGTTTTCTTGTCTCTACTTTCTGCATCTCTTATTGCACAGAAGATTATAGAAAAATGTATGATCTTATCAACCCTGTCCTCTTCTGACATTTGATAATTACATTAAACTTTAGATGTAAACACCCATCAGGTCATTAATGTTAGTGACATTATCATTTAGGACAAATACAAACTGAAACACTTTGAGGGTAATGCCAGATGTAAAAAAAGAAATGATAAAATTCAGAAAGGACTATGAGAAAACCCCCCAGGTATAAAGCAACGTAACCTAATTTATACTTTTAAAATGTGTAATTAAAAGGTAATATAATGGCAATTTAAACCCTTATAATAAAGAATACAAATAATTACAGGATTCACAAAGGCAATTTCATTTATAGAGCATTATTCATACACAAAAAAAAACTTCCACTGTCACGACTGTAAGCAGCAAAAGTTAACATTTGGGGAAATTTCATTTTTATTTCTTGAGAGACCAAGATGAGAATATTGAAGTTACTTTCATGTTTGTACGCTTTATAAAAAGCCAGGGCCAGTATGAAGTAAGCTTAGCTTAGCTTAGCTTAGCAAAAAGAACAGAAACAGGAAGAGGGAGGGAGAGACTTTATGAAGTCACTGTCTCTGACTGAACAGAAAATATAATGTGTGTAGTTTTTTCCTGATTAAAACAAACAATATGTAAAATCACTGAGATTAATCAGCAGATTTGTGTTAGATTTCGTCAGAGACAGCTTTCATTGTTTGCAGTCTTTATGCTAACTTAAGTTAACTTACTGACACAAGAGCATAAACATTGTGATGCAACGCTCTGTAAGAAAGAAGTAATCTTGTTTTGTAAAATGTCAAAGTATTTCTTCAGTTTAGTGTCTGTGTGTGTGCTTCTGGTGGATACTTTGGCCACAAAGTTGAATACTGATAAGAATCAGATTTATTGGTCAGGTATGCTTACACACACACACAAGGAATTTAACTTTGGTGAACTGTGCTCTCTTATGAACAGGTACAACATTAAATATCAACAATAAACAGAATAAGAAAAGACTAATATTTACATGACTAAATATGAAACAGTGCAGTGGTGAAGAGTGCAAAAGATGCTGAAGTAACATGATGAGTAAAATGCAGTTATGTGACAGATGGGTCAGTTAAACATGTTGATTACAGTATTTACATATCATGAAATCGCTCTCAGATGGTTTTGAGTTCTTGGAGATCCTGAAGGAGGTGGCCAGAGACAACACCCAGGTACCTGAGCTCAGCATCGTCTGGATCGACCCCGATGACTTTCCCCTGGTGAGTTGTTCAGTCCCACAGGCGGTCAGAGGAGACGTTTAGATCAGCTGCAGGTCTCTAATGGGATCTCTTTTCACTTCAGCTGATCCCCTACTGGGAGAAGACCTTCAAGGTGGACCTGTTCAGACCTCAGATTGGAGTCGTCAATGTTACAGATGTGAGTCCCTGAAAACATCTCTGACAAGACATGAATGTTGGGTTGATTTAAACATCATTTGACTGTGTGTGTGTGTGTGTGTGTGTGTGTGTGTGTGTGTGTGTGTGTGTGTGTGTGTGTGTGTGTGTGTGTGTGTGTGTGTGTGTGTGTGTGTGTGCAGGCTGACAGTGTGTGGATGGAGATGGACGATGAAGAGGATCTGCCCACCGCTCAGGAGCTGGAGGACTGGATCGAAGACGTGCTCTCTGGTAAAGTCAACACCGAGGACGATGATGATGATGATGATGATGATGAAGATGATGACGAGGAGGAGGAGGAGGATGACGAGGAAGAAGAAGACGAGGACGAAGATAATGATGAAAATGAGGCTGACGATGGCGACCAGGATGATGAAGAGGATGATGAAGAGGATGATGAAGAGGATGAAGATGATGAGGATGATGATGATGAGTAAAACTGTAGGCTGAAGGTAGTAGATGGTTAAGATTCAGTTTTTCTTCCTCTTCTAGTTTAACAAATGTACAGTTAAATAACTTTTCACAAATCAAATAATTCCAAATATACAGAATATTTGCAGCTAGTAATAAAAAGAAATCTATTCAGCATCTAGAAATGTTCTTTTTGACCATGTAAATAAGCCTGGAATGGGTTTTGGGATTAAAATAAATTATATGTACACTTCCTGTCTTGAGTTGAATTTTATCCACTGATTTCTACAACATCACACACACACACAAATCTCAAATAGAGTAGTCTCAGTGCACAAAAAAATGCATTAATTCTTGGATATTGGTATTTGTCGATAGATGTTTCTTAGTATTTATAGATTTCACAGGAAGTGAAATTAACAGTTTGACATCCTGCGATATTTGACACATAATAAAGTAACACATGAAGCTGCAAATATAGATATATAGATAGGTAGGTAGGTACTTACCACAAATTAACCACAAAACTGACGCCCCCCCCCATACATATATATTAACCCGAAAAAAAGATTTAAAGAATACCCCTAGATGAATCAAACTATTTTAACAATGTTTAAAAAGAAGAAAATGATCAAAAAACAGACATTAAATAACAGTCAATGCAAACATTAAAGGTGTGATTTAAATAATTGAGGTTAGCATTAAAGTGTCCAACTATCAATATATATAAAGTACGAGTGCAGTTTAATAAAACATTTTGTATACTGTTCCTAGTTATTTGAAGTTCTTACAGGTGATAGAACTTGGGCAGAGTGTGTATTGCTGTTGACTCATTGTACTTATTTTATAAACATGTCAGATCTCCATCAACTTCATTATTTAATCTATTTCCCCCCCAAGACGTTCTCTTTTCTAAAAGCTCAAAACAATGTGAGGGCTACTCATGAAATATAAAAAAACCCTCCCATTAATCATAACAACAGAAGACACAAAAACAACCAAATGACTTGAAAATGTTGATACAAATATTTATTGTTTTTTTACAAATAAGACTTTGACACGGTCGTGGTGCTTTAACATGTTGTGTAAAAAAAATGACAGAGACAAACTCAGGACACTTGACGAGTTGGGATCTTTGACGTTTGGGGAAACAAATCTCTTTTCTTCGTTATGTTCCCTTTTCTTTTCTTGACCTCTCATTCACACACACACACACACACACACACACACACACACACACACACACACACACACACACACACACACACACACACACACACACAGTCAGTCTCACACACACACACCTGAACACTGCACATGTATGCTATATATATGTATAACTGAGGCACATGTGTAGTCTACAACTATTTACAACCATCTACACTCTAAAATCCTAAACAAAACTACACCATCGGTAACCATAGCAACACATTTTGTAAATATGCATTTCCAGCATGACAGGCATCATAAATACAAACTGGGTTTATTTTTTGTTAAAAATGCACATAAAATATTTATACAGATAAAGAGAGAGTTTGATTGTAGCTCAGGACTGTTTTTTTTTTTGTTCCTGTCGCTGCAGATAGGGGGCAGTAGTGAGACGCTGAGACAAAATACTGGCAGCAGAAATACTGACATGGAGCTGAGCTAATTTACTGTAAATTATTCATCTCAAATGCTTGTTCAAACACTTGACAGAATGAGATAAGTGATAATTCATACTGGTTAGGGATTTGGAAAAAAATGTGTGAACTCTTTGCTGTAATAAATATTCCTTCCAGCTCGTGGTGAACAGGAATATATTTATATAGAGAGGAGGGGTTGGTCAAAAGGTCAACTGCATGAACCTAAACATTAGGCATCAAAAAATGTGTCAGTGCTAGGCTTAAAAAAACATAGTACACCTCACTAGTGTAACTGATGATCATTTGCATTCAGTCTTTTGTGTTTTTGTGTTTTCACTGATGTCTGTGACAATAACAAACACGTCTTCTTTCGTTTACAGTCCAGCTATCTCAACCAATACAGCGCATGTTAAAACCAAAAGGAAATCTTTGACAAGTTTTAAAAAAAATCAAAGCAATGCACAATTTGGATATAAAAAGTCTATTAAGTATATTCACATATAAATACTGTACAAACATCTGTTATACAGGACTGTTAAAAAAAAGACTTTGCAAATACTAGAAAAGGAGAAAAACCTAAAAGGATTCATGGTATATTAAATTTCCAGGTCACTATAGTAATGCTAAGCAGGAAGAAGAAGAGACACGTTGTGACACATCCTGGGTATTCACTTAAAACACAAACTTTTGCACCCTAAATCACACACTCCTTCTTAAGTCATGAACTCTCCCACACAGGCACACACTGGCACATGCAAAGATATGGAAGAAGAAAGTTTGAGAGTGTGATCCGTCGTGCATAGAGGAAAATCTGATCAGTGTTCTGCAGATGTCAGGACAGAGAAATCCCTCCTGTCTTCTGTCCTTTTTATTGTCTTTTTTTGACAAAGACAATTACACAAAGATACATTATGTAAGAAAATTACATAAACAGAAGTACAAAAACCGTACAAAAAGCTTATTTTGTTGAAAAATCCAGAAGGGTAATCTTAACAGTGTAAGTCCAGCAGCTCTGGTTAAACTGAGGTTTCTGATTGGAGCAGCAGTATAAACTTGTGAGACTTGGGGTCGATGTACTCCTCAGTCAGTCGGATGTACGGGATGCTTTTGATGGTCACAGCTAAGCTGAAGTCTAGACACTTCAGCAGGAACTCTGTCCCCTCCTTAATGCCGCCTGTGACGGACGCCTCGCTCACCAAAGTCCACTGATCGGCCATCCAGCGCTCAGGGCCGTACTGCAGGGTGGGACCCGGGGCCAAGTAAGCCTCCAGGAAGGCCTGGAATTACACAAACAATCAATGATACCACTTACCAAGAACATCCTTAACACATCTGTTTTAAACATAATGATTTGTTAAAAGCAGTGGTTCTCAACTGGTGGGTCGGGACCCAAAATGGGTCATGGAGCAGTTTTCAGTGGGTCGTGAATACAGTATGTGTAAGAATAGAGTCAAAAAGTCTTTGAAGTTATTTTTAAACATGTTTGTTTTGTACTTTTTGTCAAACATTTTTTCATGAAGTAAATCTGATTGGTTGAAAAAAATTCTAAAATTTGGGGTCCAGATTTTTCATGAAGAAGTTGTTGCTACGGAAGCGACTAGTGATCAGAACTCAAATGATAAAGCTAATTTGAAAATGAAAATCCATCAACAGAAATGCTTTTTAATTTTCAGAATATGGGAGTATTATTTGACTCAAAAATAAAATGATGACTAATTTATCTAATTTGGATTTTAGTTTTCAACTTCAAAAATGCACATTCTTTGGCTAAATTAAAATGAGGAAGAAAATGACATTTGCTTTTTTCAATTAAAAAAAAATGCCCCGCTAAATTTGTATCATAATTCAAATGAAAATGCATTAAGAGAATCGCGTTTTAATTTTCAGAACATAGGTGCGTTATTTGACCTATATTTAAAATAATATATATAGTATATATATATATATATATATATATATATAATAGTCAGTCATCCATTTTGCATTATACTTTTACTCTCTATGTATGCATATTGTACGACATAATACAAATGAAAACAAAAAGGTCTTTGCCATTTCATTTTCAAATTGGTTTGAATTATGATCACTTTTTAGCAGTCAAGTTTGAAAATGAAATGGCAAAGTGGACGGCGCAGGAAAGTGACTGAAAATGAAAAAGCATTTTTGTTAATGCATTTTCATTTTCAAATTAGTTTTCTCATTTTAATTCTGATCACTAGTCGCTTCCATAGTTGCTAGGTCCTGAGGATAAATTATACTGACTGTTAATTGAGACCGCTGGGGTTCTTGTTTAGTTTTCCTTTTTCTAAAAACAAAAATACAAACTTCTTCATGAGTTCTGAAAACCAGATTGTCACAATCCCAGTTTAAGAGTAGTTTGGACTATCAAGTTAGTTTCAGCAAGTTTTAACAACCAGTTTGCTGTCACAACTAACAACAGTAACAAAGATCTAAAACTGATGTTTGTAACTGATGTAACGTTGTTTTACAGCAGCAAGCCTTTTTCTTTTCTAGATCTCCGAAAGTTTTTAGAACAACATTATCAGACTAGAAAAACTTGATGGCACAGGTTGGTGAACAGAAGACGGTCACTACACCCTCTCCCTCCCCACTACACCCTCTCCCTCCCCACTACACCCTCTCCCTCCCCACTACACCCTCTCCTCCCCACTACACCCTCTCCTCCCACTACACCCTCTCCCTCCCCACTACACCCTCTCCCTCCCCACTACACCCTCTCCCTCCCACTACACCCTCTCCTCCCCACACCCTCTCCCTCCTCACTACACCCTCTCCCTCTCCCTCCCCACTACACCTCTCCCTCCCCACTACACCCTCTCCCTCCCCACTACACCCTCTCCTCCCACTACACCTCTCCCTCCCCTACACCTCACCCTCCCACTACACCCTCTCCCTCCCCACTACACCTCACCTCCCCACTACACCCTCTCCTCCCCACTACACCCCACTACACCCTCTCCCTCCCCACTACACCCTCTCCCTCCCCACTACACCCTCTCCCTCCCCACTACACCCACTACACCTCTCCCTCCCACTACCCTCTCCCTCCCCACTACACCCTCTCCGTCCCACTAACCCGCTCCCTCCCACTACACCCTCTCCCTCCCACTACACCCTCTCCCTCCCCACTACACCCTCTCCTCCCCACTACACCCACTACACCCTCTCCCTCCCCACTACACCCTCTCCCTCCCCACTACACCCTCTCCCTCCCCACTACCCCTCCGTTTGTGCGTCCATGCGGAGGGTCCTCCATATTAAGTCCGTCCCAAACCAACTAGTGGGGAGTGGTAGTGGGTTATAAAACCCTCCACCAGCGAGTCTGCACCCATGATGACTTTCAGATCACGTGCAACACCTTTTGTGTCCGGTCGTCATGGAGACAGCAACCTGTGAGTTCAAACACTGCTCCAACTAAGATAGACATTTAATATCCTCATACAGACGTTAACAACTTCAAATGTGTTCTGAGGATTAAATATCTGTTTATTTATTGTAAAGTGTTTTATATTTACAGGGACTGTCACAAAAACAAAAGAATATTAAATCATGTTGCTGTTCATATTTATTTATTATTTTTATACTTTTGATGTCTTAATGAAATCTCAATTCAACAATAAAAAAATAGACTTTGTGCTGCTCTGATGTTCAACAATAGTCTCCTTGTCTTTGCATTAATTTAGGACACCCTGATCTAAAGATTACAATAAATTAACTGAAATGATAAATTACAATAAACAATGTAGGCTCAATCTAATAGATTTGTTATAAGTCTACACTAATATAACTAAAGAAGAAGAATCTAGGCTACATAAAGATTTTTACAGAATGCATTAGCTACATAAAAAAAAGCCGTTCCCAAAAAGCTACCGCTTAGTAACCATGGTAACACACAGTTCCTGTTTCCGTGTGAGAGAGGGAAGTTTGTCCCAAAGCCTGCCGCTGTATTTCTACCTACAGCTTGATGAAGGAGACTTCAGTCAGCTGAGACTTCTGATGGAGTGCACTCCGTCATGGAGGGGGAGGGTGTAGGGGTTGGTTTGAAAAAGGGCCGAAGTTCAAGCTCACCTTAGGGCTCATGTTATTGATGAGGCAGAAAGCCAGGTGCTTCTGGATGCTCTCCATGCTGTGGCAGTGCTGCCTCCTGGTGGTGCGGAGGTATTTCTGCAGGGAACGGGCCATGGAGGGAAATATAGCCAGAGCTGCTTCACGCACGTCCATGATGTCAGACGGTGTCGCACGCTCATCCTCTTTCTTCATCCTCCGGACATGAGTGAAGGCCTCCTCCACGGCAACGACCAGCCTGACAACACAGCAGACAGCTTACTGCTACCTCTCTATACAACCTACTTCTACGTCTCTATACAACCTACTTCTACGTCTCTATACAACTTACTGCTACGTCTCTATACAACCTACTTCTACCTCTCTATACAACCTACTTCTATGTCTCTATACAACTTACTGCTACGTCTCTATACAACCTACTTCTACCTCTCTATACAACCTACTTCTATGTCTCTATACAACTTACTGCTACCTCTCTATACAACCTACTTCTACCTCTCTATACAACTTACTGCTACGTCTCTATACAACCTACTTCTATGTCTCTATACAACTTACTGCTACCTCTCTATACAACCTACTTCTACCTCTCTATACAACTTACTGCTACGTCTCTATACAACCTACTTCTACGTCTCTATACAACCTACTTCTACCTCTCTATACAACTTACTGCTACGTCTCTATACAACCTACTTCTACCTCTCTATACAACCTACTTCTACTCTCTATACAACCTACTTCTACGTCTCTATACAACTTACTGCTACCTCTCTATACAACCTACTTCTACGTCTCTATACAACTTACTGCTACCTCTCTATACAACCTACTTCTACGTCTCTATACAACTTACTGCTACCTCTCTATACAACCTACTTCTACGTCTCTATACAACTTACTGCTACCTCTCTATACAACCTACTTCTACGTCTCTATACAACCTACTGCTACCTCTCTATACAACCTACTTCTACGTCTCTATACAACCTACTTCTATGTCTCTATACAACTTACTGCTACCTCTCTATACAACCTACTTCTACGTCTCTATACAACCTACTGCTACCTCTCTATACAACCTACTTCTACGTCTCTATACAACCTACTTCTACGTCTCTATACAACCTACTTCTACGTCTCTATACAACCTACTGCTACCTCTCTATACAACCTACTTCTACGTCTCTATACAACTTACTGCTACCTCTCTATACAACCTACTTCTACGTCTCTATACAACCTACTTCTACGTCTCTATACAACTTACTGCTACCTCTCTATACAACCTACTTCTATGTCTCTACACAACCTACTTCTACGTCTCTATACAATAAATATAATTTATAATAGTTGTAAATACATAGTATCTTTATTTGTATTCCTGTATATTCTAAATGTATTAATACTCATACGCATGTTCTTCTAAGTCACCTGGCTCTGCGTTTGCGGACTCTTCTCTCGTAGTCGGCCTCCTCGTAGTACAGCTCACTGTGGGCGCTGTCTTTGCGTTTGCCGGCAGCTGTAACCATGGCACGTGATTGATTCCCATTACTGGGCTGTGCTCCCGCTGTGCTCCCCGGGGCTGCACCACAACAACAAAACAAGAGGAAGAATGGTTTTTATCAGACCGTGCTGGACGGAGCAGTCGCTGAACCCATGAGACTCTCAATCTGTATCAGGGACAGGAGAGGTCAGGTGGATGGAAAGCTGAGGTTTCACACATCACAGGAGGTTTAAAACTGCTGTAAATCAACCTGTCTGTCCATTTTTACTAAAATAACTCCTAAAAGATTGAAGAGGATCTGGGTTAACCATGTAGATCATGTGTCTCAGTCACAGGAAAATTAAATATGAAATTCTAATTCTAACAAGAGCAAATCCACATTTCAGCACAAACATTCTGATGCAGAAACCTTTTTTTATTACAGGGACGTGCATTAAATATTCATCGTTTTACACTTCAAAGGCCAGAGTTCTTGTCTGATCTGTGAATTAACTGGTTTGTGTGAGAGATGCATAACGATGATGGAGCTCGTGTAGCAGAATATTAGAGATGTTGTTTTAGGGGTGTCAGACCTGGACCACATTCATGAAGATCTGGATGGAAATGGGGAAGATATAGAGACTAAATGCTGCAGGTCAGGTGAGGATATGAATCATTAATGATCTGATATGCATCTTTGTGTTCATGCAAACGTGCACACAGGTGAAGAAAAGACGCTGAATCTAGTCAACAAAGGGGATTTGAAGCATCCTAGTAAGTACTGTTAAAAGAATACTGTCACATTATTAGCAGAAGGAGCATTCTAAAAAAAAATCCATTTAAAATATGAGTAAACAGCATCCTTATCTAACATCCAGGCCTTCATATTCATGCTACGAGAGGAGGGCGAGGAGAATGACTTTGGATGAGAGAGAGAGGGAGGGGGAAGAAGTGAAAAATGAAATAAGGGGTGGGGGAGAAAAGTGAGAGTGAGCCGAGCTTGCAGTCGGGCTCAGAAGGACGAAGGAGAAATGTGGGAGTGTGTGAGGAATGAGCATTACTCTGATGAATTATTTAAAGCTTGAAATTCCACGACCCTCTGGAGGCCTTTCCGCTGCTCTTTGATAGAGAAGGGGGTGGGGGGGGGTGGGGGGGGAGGTGCTACGAGGACACCATCTCCCATACTGCATCCCTGCCATCGATCATGAAAACCACAGGGATGTCCAGCAGACGAGGGGATTGATGAGTGTAAGGGAGAAGAGAGTCTTTCAGCAATTTGTGGCATTACAGGATGAGTGTTTGTGGCAGCAAGGAGGGGAACAAGCTAGGAGTGTATGTGTGTGTGTAGCTGGAGTGTGTGTGTGTGTAGCTGGAGTGTGTGTGTGTAGCTGGAGTGTGTGTGTGTAGCTGGAGTGTGTGTGTGTAGCTGGAGTGTGTGCACATACGTTTATGTCAGGCACAGAGGCTTCTGAGTGCACTAAAGATGGAGTGAACTGAACCGTGAGATTAGCTGCTTCCTGTAACAAAGTGCTGTGTGGAGCAGAGCAGAGGACTTGTATCTGTTTCTATCTGTACTTACTGTCCAAAAGGAATGTTCTCAGTTTGTTTTTAAAAGCTGCTTAGGGAAGAGATGGGAGACAAGAGAGCATCACAACAGGGAAGCAGAAAGAGCAGAAAAACCAGGTGAGGAAAAATAATGACCAAGAGATGACGTGAAAAGAAATATCATCCAATATCCAACATCATCGGCCCTAATCCCAAGAATGTTGCTACAGAGGTAGGGGTTGTTTTTTAGGAGATTGGACTTCACTTTGTCATATTTCCAAATTTAAAGGGACTACTTCACCCATTAGCATTAATCTTTGTATCATTAGAAACCTGGTAGTATTTTTGAATGGTCGTGCATCCCGCCCTCATTTTCCCCTGAGATGTAAATCTTTGTATTTCTGAGTCTGTAAAGGAGCTTCCAGTGACGCAGAATGACTATTGATTTGTTGCGGTTAGCGGGGTGAAACTACGACGCTAGATCCTCATATTTTCAACCACTGACTGGTGGGAACTCATTCCCAGAATCGAAACTGCGGTGCTGTGCATTCTGGGAAAAAGACACTTTCTGCCAAAATGTGTTTCACATTTCTACATATATGACTCAATGTCAACGGGTGAAGTATCCCTTTAATGTACGCAACAAGGAAATAAATGTACCATATTCTCCCAAATAATCCCTTATGCAACATACTATTGATAATATAAATCATCTTCCTTTGCATCACACTATTCTCACTGATTTGTTTCATCAGGATGATCTAAACATATGGGCTCATCATCCTGCTACAGTAGGTTACACTGCCTCAGGTTGAAAAGTCATTAGGGGAAACGTCTGCAGTCTGTATTTTTAAACACTTCCTCAGGAGGGTGCTATTTGGAGGATTAGATGGATGATTGACCTGCAGAATAGTAGCAGATAGCTTGTACTCAGGACTCTGTTTATCCCAATAATGATGAAATTGCAACTCATTGTGAAGCCTGTCAAGATGACCACTGGTGTTCAAATCCCAAGAGAAGAGAGACACATGACAATGTTATTTAACGTAGAGCTTACCGTCTACGTTATAAACCTTTAACCCGGCCAGGTGTTTGGCAGCTCGGTGCTTTGAGGCAGAGAGAAGAGCCGGGTTGTGGAGAGAAAAATCTCTGTAGTAAAACTCCAGAATGGACAGAGCAGCCTTCTGGACGCTGTGTGAGGAGAGAGAGAGAGAGAGAGAGAGAGAGAGGGAGAGAGACAGAGAGAGAGAGAGAGAGAGAGAGAGAGAGAGAGACAGAGAGAGAGAGA